CTGTCCAGGAGCTATGGAAACCTTGTTTGGCTAAATAAAAACGCAGAAAGATAACAAGGCTTCATATTTTCCAGCAACGTGTTTGCTGGAACAGTGATCTATCTGTGTGTGCTGGAGGCTCCAGAACAGCCAAAGCTGTTCCTGAAGAGAAATGTGCCGTGCTGTTCTCCACAGCTGGAAGTAAAAACTGTCTCCTACCTCCCCAGGAGGGAGGGGAATCGAGTCAGTGATGTAGGAGAACCTTGGGAGGAATTGAAGAATTGCAGTGAGCCTTCAGGAGGTGAAGGCCTGGTTTCTTCTCCAGTCTGTTCCCAGTGACTTTTTGAGACTTGCTGCTATAAACTGGGACAAAACTTGGCCCCGAAGTTCACTCTAGGAACTGGGCAAACAAGTTCTTACCCAGGAGCTGCCAAACACCTGATATCCACATATAACTGAAAGTGAAAATGCATCCACCATTGTCCAAATCCTCTCTCTCAGAAACCTCCTTCCCCTTCAAGTTCTCCCCTGTGACTCTTCAGCTCTTGGGAGAACACACGGGGATGCTGGGCTGCTCTATCCACACAAATGTCTCCAGTTTGGTCTATAATGGTCCTTACTGGTTCTCTAAAACCTGTGCTCCATGGACTCCAACTTTGCCAGTCACTGGAGAAAAGTCCTGTCCAGCTTCTGTTTTAGGGTTTCCTGCTGTTGGACATCACTTTCCACACAAGAATAATAGGAGTGACAGAGTCCACCATAGCAGGAATATTCCTCTATTGCCATGGGAAGCATCACAAGTGTGTCCTGAAACTACAGCTCTGCACAGGGAAAGGAGCAAAGGCAGCACCTGCCAGGAATTCAGTGCTGTGCCCCTCCGTGGGAAGTGACAGCTCCTTCCATCCCCTCTACCCTGTTTTAGTGAATCACAAAGTCATTAATTTTGGAAAAGATCTCCAAGATCAAGTCCAGCCCTCAGCCTGAACTGTGCTCCCACCCTGCCACCCAGCCACCAGGACATCCCCACATCACAGAGAGAAGAGGAAATTCTTCCTTTTCCTTCCCAACCCATCCACCAACATGTTAACAAGCCAAGTTTAATGTAGGTGGCATGTTTCATCCAGAATCTTACAGGCACCCAAAACACCAGCTGGTGCCATGTTCTGAGGAGTTAACGAGGTGAAACTCCAACATTTCAGGCTCCTTCCAACATTGCCAGGCTGAACAACAGGCCCAGGGAGGCTTTGCCACCTCGGGGATCCCCCCCGGCACCCAAACACCTGGAAAAACTCTGGAGCCAGCAGGATTCATTCTCCAAAGGGTTTGGAATAGCTCAGCAATGGACACACTCCCCCAAAGCAGTATTTCTAATTTTTTTTTTTAATTAATTAATTAAGGGTGTTTTTAACCCACGATGTAGAATAGCAATGTTTAAAGACCAAATGTGGAAAGGAAAAATCCAAACAAACCATCTGCTCTCGCTCTTGAAGATGGAATCTGCATGAAGGAATGCTGAAATGAAAATTGCAATAATTTTAGAGTTAAAGCCATTTTTATCTTTAATGGAACAAATATATTTTGGAGCCTAATCCATTCTTCACAACACTGAATTTGGAAAGAGTGAACTACTCAAAAGAACATGAACTTCCCCAGCGAGGCACAGTTTACAAGAACCTGCTCAACATGAAATATTTCTGGCAAATATCCTTATAAACCACTCCTGAAAAGCAGAAAGTTCAACTTTTCCTGTTTTCTTACTTGTGTTCTACAATGGTTTGTTTGTCTTGTTTCTTTATTAAAAATGCCAGTTTTTAAAATTAAATTAAAGGTGGGGGGGGGGAAAGCTCAACTTATTCTTTGCATAAACACAATACAATATTTAGTCTGCCTCTTTCTCCCTCCCTCAGTTGTGGCTTGGCTCCCTTTCAGCTTCAAAGAAAGTTTAGGAATCTCAATTCTGCAAGAAAGAAATACTTTGCCAAAATAATCCTAAAAGCTTTTTTTAAAAAATTAAAACCAATAATTTTACATTCTGAACCATTCCCAAGACCTTACTTACTGTGCAACCTCTCCTGGGGATGTTGTGAGGTTTAATTAGCTCCAGTTGAAAAATGCTTTGAAGAGGAAAAATGCCAAATATTGCTCCACTCAGGTAGAGCTAAAATGTCTAAATTATTACATCATAAAACAAATAATTTGAAAATTAACTCCTCTTCCTTGCCAGCATGACTTCACAGGGACTTCACTTCCCCAATGTGCTGGTAGGATCACACCACCAAGGTGTCCAAGTGCTGGTGATCAGAGATTTTTGAACATCATGGTGCCTTTGAGGCCACCTTAATTACTTAATTTTGGAGTTGTCTAACTCTATTTGCCACAGGAGACCTGATCTTCAGGGCATTCTCAGTGCAGGTATTTGGCCACCTTTGCAGCAGATGCTGGAGAGTCACTGAGCTAAAGCAGCTCAGCCCCAGGATCTCTCCGGAGGAACATCTGGGCATTTGGCAAAGGTTATTTTTTTGTGATTTAACAAGGACGCGTCCTTCTCCCTCAGAACACAACGTGAGTTTATTGAAGGTGCAAAAGTGAGGCTCGATCTCCTTCTCCCTGCACCAAGGACGTGGTAATGACCCAAGGCTCCCAAGATGAGATTTTAATGCTCTGTGATAACGACGTTCTGCTCAACATCAGTCACTTCCCCACATCTGCACTTGGCAAGGGGGCTCAGCCTCCAGCAGGGACCTTGTGAGGCTCCAGCCCAGGGCAGATCCCCCCCATCCCAGCAGCTGCTCTGCAGGGACAGCTCAAAAAAAAAAAAGGCTCACTTGAGGCTGTCATATTTATGGAATAAAGCAGTTGGCTCGCAGTCAAATTAGGAGCGATGAAAAAAGGTTGTGTGAGACTCCTTGTACCCACAAGCTCCTTTGTTCCTTGACCAAATTAGCGCTGGAAGAACCACCTGCTATTCATGTGTTAATCGCATGATCGCTGCTCTGCTTTACAGGCTCGCACACATCAAAGCCGCCTGTGTCACCCTGTTCCTGTGGGGGTTTTCAAAGAACACCGTGAAACCAGAGAAGTTCACGACCTGTCGACAGCCCAGAGCTTTTATTTCCTTCGGAGCCAGAACCAAACAACCACAGGTTTGGCCAAGCAGGTGTGTCCATCGCAGAGGAGCAGGCAGAGCAGAAATCACCACAAATCACCCTTTTTTTAATCCAAGGAGCGCTGAAGTTCTGTCACTCCCAGGTGAAACAAAGTCCCACTGCCCAAGGAGGATCCCGGCTGCTCTCCCAGCCCACACCAGGCTGTTTGCTGTGGGCTGTGGCAGCTTTTCTGCAGGAATTCTGCAGGAATTCTGGAGCACAGCCACCCTGAGAGCCTCCCCAGTCTGCACTGCTCCGGCAGTGGCAGCTGTACTGGGCAGGAAAGCTCCAGGCTGGGGATTACTGGGAGCTCTCTCTGCACACACAGCAAGCTGGAGCTCAGACCTACAGGACACTCAGGACCTGGGGTCCACAGAACAATCCCAGAAAAGGCTCTGGGGATCTCTCTGTTGGGAGGAAAGTTCCAGACACCAGTTTGTGACAGATGCTGATGCTACATCTTTGCTGCAGAAAGAGCCTTTGGCTCTCTCGGGGCTAATCTAAAGTTCACACCACCGTGGCCATTATTTATTCAGCTCTGCTGTTGAGCTGCATTATCTGTGACACTCCATAATGAAAGAATTTCGGGGCTCCACACAGAAGCTTCTCTATTTTCTATCCACAAGCCTCTAAGCCAAGGTATGTCAGCAAAAGACTGCACCACTCACAAGCTGAAATAGGAAGGATCTTTGGGACTCACAGCTCTGAGCAAGGAGATAAAAAAACAGACACAGAATTTCACTCTTGCTTATTTCCCTGTGACTGACTCCAAAGATTTTGTGCAGGGAGGGAAGAAGTTTCTGCATAGTTTTTACCAACTTGTTTTCAAACAGTTCCTTAAAGAATGCAGGGAAAAAGGCAATATTCCATCATAAGGCAAAACAAACAAACAAAAGCAGAATAAAAATAAACTTTAGGCCAGCTTCTGGGCTCCATAAATAGAGTTACTTGACTGACTGCACAGTGAAATCTTAGATCAAGACCAGTAGAACTGAGCTTAAAATTCAGCTGCCTTTTCGAGCTGTCGGTAAAGGCTCTGCAGTGACCCTCCCTCTCCCTGCTGCAGAGGTAGAACAATTTGTGTCATTTCAGGGAGCAATTATTGCCAGCTCACACTGCACTCAGCTCCTAATCTCTCCTAGGTAAGACAGTCTCACCTCATTGTGCTCCCTGAGACAGAAGAATCTCTGTGAGAAAGCTGGAACGAATCAATTCAGGGAAAAGTGAAACCAAATGCCAGGATCTGAACACCGAGGATCATTGCAATGGGTCCCCCTTAATCACTGCAAAATGAGAACATATTTGCCGTGACTGGGAATTTCAGGAGCACATGATGGCAAGCCCTGCTCCCATCCCTCCTGTGGATTTGTGCTATAAGGGAAAGACTCAATTACTCAGCACTAAATGCCTGAAAAGGACAAAGCCACTCAAAGCTACATAATCACCTTCAAGTGGATGAAAACAGGAGAGTGGGGCAAATGTATGTCTTGCATAAATCTCAAAATAAAAGAGGGAAAAAAAAACAACTTAAAGCCCTACAGTTAGTTGAATTTTGGGCCCAGATTCTTATTAGGAATATACAAATTGAAAACCTGCAAGAAAGATACATATTACATGCCTGAGACATTAAGGAACATTTTTAGAAAAATAACGAAGATGGATTAAGAGTGTGGAGTGCAAAATTATCTGGCTTCTGTCCTGCAGATAAATCATTGTCTTTTTCATGGCCACAGGAATACAGGATCAGCAGCAAAATAGGCTCTTATGGATTAAAAGAAACTTACAGTAACCCACATTGTGCAAAGAATAAAACACCCAATCCAGTGTTACACTTTGCTAATCAAAATGGCACCTCGACCTTCAAAGAGACACAAATTCCAGAGACAAGCACGTTCATTTATCCACAAAAATTAGCACTGAGAAATAAATTAATTTATATTAGAATTAAAAAAAAAAAAAAAAAAAGAAAAGAAAAAGAGGATATTGACACATTTCGGGGGTAGAAGAAAAGTCACCTCCTGATCCCACATGCGCTTGGTTTTATTTACATATCCACAAAGACCATGAAACACCAGCCCAGCCCCCCCACCAGCAGCATGGTCACATGGATCCCGTAGATGAGCAGTTCATTCATGAGGCTGAAATCCACCCGCCTCCTCCCCAGCAGCAGCAGGATGATGGAGAGTTTGTACTGGAAGCGCAGGAAGATGCGGATGCCGAGGTACTGAAGGCAAAACAAGATCGAGAGAGCCACCCAGAGGATGGAGGTGAAGAGGCTGCAGCTGAAGTACAGCAGGAAGCGGATGAAGCCGTACATCCATCGCGATTTGAGATAGATGTCGAAGTTGTTGTACTTGGTGCGCACCAGGTGCGTGGTGCGCACGGGGCCGCAGGCGGAGTGCAGGCACGTGGTGTGCGGGCCGTGGAACGAGCGCACCCGCCGGGGAATGGGGATCACCGGCATCGGGCCCCGCCCCGCGCAGCCCGCCCCAGGCCACCAGGGCACATATCAGGTGGCAGCGGGACACAGCCGGGGACCTGGCACAGCTAAGGCTGGGCTGGATGTCCGCGGAGGGAGACACCTGTAGGGAGGCACAGTGAGAAGGTTCTGGGTTGGTGCTGGTGAATCCTAAGGTCAAAAGGAATTTTCTCTAAATAACACAGCCAAGAGAAAGTTTCACTTCTCCTGAAGCTGCTGAATAGAGCAACTTATCCCAGCTGATTTCAATATCAGTGCTCACTTAAAACTGCTTTCCAAGCTTTAACCTCTTCCCTTAAAACATCTTTGCTTTGCCTCTTTGCTTCTTATTCCACACCCAAGCACACGCTATCTCCATGCCACGTTCCAAATAAATTCCCCAGCCAGCATCAGTTGTAGCCTGTTATAAACTTTATCCAGCGTTAACACAGCAAAGAGGTTTGGTCTGAAATCATCCTGGCTAATTCATAAATCTTTCCTAATCTAACAGCCACACTGCAAGAGCCCACCCACCTGAGCAATAATATTCATGTGAGAGCAGTAATATAATAATGTAGGTGTTTGTACTGGGTCATATTTCCCTTAAAAGCAAAATAAAAAAAAAAAATAGTTCTCAGAGTACTTTCGCAAGTGGATTCCAGATTCGTGCTCATTTCCAAACTTGGCAAAGCTTCACCAAATAAACAAACTGAAAATAATGGAAGGTCTTGGAAGAACAATGAGGCAATCATGTTTTTCACACTCCACAGGATGTACCTCCCCTGGCTCAGGCCAGCCTTGTGCTCTCACTGTCACTGCAAGGCAAGGCCAGGCAGCCTTTCAAAGGCATCCACCAGTTTATTTCTCCCCTTGGGGACCTGCAGAGATAAGTGAAATTATCTTGATCTTCTGCAGTGTTTAGGATTTATAATCTTAACATCCTTCCACACACCCATTGTTGTCGTGTGAGTGATGAGCAGGAGCCTCTGAGCTGCTCTCTGCTTCACCCCAGGCTCCTGATGTGCCAGATTCCGGGAATTATGAAATGACAATGCACTCATCAGATAATGCTGGAAAACAACACGGACTTCCCTAGACTCCCTGCACACCCAAGTGCTCAGATCCAGGCAGATTTTTTCCTTTGTTGAAGCAAAAATCTGACTGCTTTTAAAATTAAAACTAATTCAAGAGTTACTTCAAGAATCCTTTAGTTTCATTACTAACAGAACTAACCACAGAGCAAATGACAAAGCTGCAGGAAATTGTATTTTTGATATCAAAATCCTTCCCCAAGTCTCTGCCCTGCTTCCTGCCTCAAATTCCATGGAAATGGAAATTCCACTCCTGATCTCTCCTGCTAAGCTCCACGTTCCAATTCCTTTTTGACCTCACAGAAACGTGAGGCAGTATTGGCTCTACATGGACCAGGGACTACCAAAAAAGGAGCAGGGGCTAAATTATGATTTAAGGAATTTAGGAAACCAAGGGTTCTCCTCAATCATCACAGACACCCTCAAAATTTTAGGTGCCTCTTGCCCTATTTCCTTTCTGGAGCCAGGAAATGCCAATCAGAAATGTGGCTTTTGCAAGGCACAGGAATTGCTCAGACACTGAACCAGCACTGCCTAAACCCAACCCAGTTCTGTGCCTGCAGCATGTGACCCCACACACTTCCCACATGATGGGTATGAACTGCTCAGCATTTGCTCCCAGAGATATTTTTGGAGGACTAAAGCAAGACAGGTCAAAAATCACATGCTGGGGATTCAGAGCATTCAATTCCTGACGATGCAGCCTCTCCTTGCAACTTCCTTCACCAGGACACAAAGTTTTCCAGAAAACTCTTGCACAGTTACTGTGCTCACCACGGGAAACAAACAGCCTTTGGTGGGTTCATGCTCTTTGGATGAACTCAAATATCAACACTGGAACGTGGGGAGGACAAAATAAACTCTGAATTATTACATTTTAGGGGCGCTGCCATCCACTCAGCAGGTCGGGGCTCCGCTGCCTTTCTGAATTCTTGGAACAAAAGAGTGAAGTTTTCCTGTGACACCTTCTAGGAAGAGTGACAGAAACTGCTGAGGTGCTTCATAAACTCACAACTCTCTGCACAGGAACGGACCTAAAACACAAAATGACACAATAATTTTCTATTTGCTCATTTTGTGCATTAAAATGCTCATAATTACCAGGCCTCTCCTCTCCAAGCATGAATTTTTAAGCCCATGAAGACTCTAAAAAGAATCCAACACTCGGCAATACATGGATTCCAGTTTCCTGATCCATGTTGGGAAGAATCAGTGAGCTGCAATTCAGTGCCAGGACAGAAAATCACAACCAAACTCGTGCTGGTCACCTTCTCCTGCCACAGACTGTTCTGGGGCACATGAAACACGATGCAAGGAGCACAGACTTTCCAAACTGAATATGGAATAGCAGATCCTCCACAAGGCGCCCAGAGAAACTATGGGTGTCTCTAAATTCCTGGAAGTGTCCAAGGTAGGGCTTGGAGCCATCTGGGATAGTGGAAAGTGTCCCTGCCCATGGCAAGGGGTGGGATGAGGTCCCTTCCAACCCAAAGCCTCCCGTGATTCTGTGATTATTCCCCGGTCTGTATTTCGCACGTGATGCCCACAAACAGGTGTGGACACCCACTCCATGATTTTGGGGGCAAACTCGGTATTTTAGGGGCACCATCCCACAGCTCAAAGGATTCCTGGAGACGCCTCCGTGTCCTCCAGGCCGCTGTCACCCCCAGCACCACGATCGTGGTGACCTCCTCAGGATGTTTAGACGAGTTCTCACCCCCTCTCCTTTCAAAAAGGGGTGTGCGGTGAGCAAAGTGCGGGAATCTCCGCATCCACCGGGAATTCCAGGCAGGATCTGCCCAGGCTCGGGGCACTCCCATTGCCGGAGGAGGAGCGCTGGCAGCCGCGACCCGCCCGGGGCTGGCGGGACCCGCCGGCAGGCCCCGAGTGCTCCGGGAGGAGCCCCACGAGGTTAGGGACAATGACAAATAAAGGTTAGAGCCGAGGGATGAGCGCCGGGAGGAGGGGAAACGCCAACTCCTCCTACATCGCCCCGAGCCCGAACGGAACCGCGGCCGCTCGGGGAAGGAGCTGCGGGAGGGAGCTCGGCCTGGCCTTCCCCGGCAGCCCCGCACGGCCGCGATTCACGCCGGGGACAGAGACCCCCGGGCCCGGCGGGCGGTGACCGAGAGCTGCCGCACCGCCGGGCCCCGGGGCGGAGCTCCCGCCGCCGCAGGGCGAGGCCCGGGCCCCGCCGCCCGCCGGGCCGTGCCCCGCACTCACCGTGGTGCCCATGGCCGGGCCGTGCCCCGCACTCACCGTGGTGCCCATGGCCGCGCCGGGCCCGGGCGGAGCGAGGCCCGGGCCGCCGGGCGCCCGCTCTGCGCATGTGCGGGGGCGGCTCCGGTTCCTCCGGTTCCGGCGGCGGTGGCGGGTGGGGAGCGGCGGCGCGCGGTGATTGCGTCATCGCGCCGCGCCGCCACGGCCGGAAGTGGCGGAGACGCGTTGCCCTGGCAACGGGGGCGCCAGGGCCTGGTCACTCCTGGGGTCACACCGGAGATTACCCCAGGGGTCACTCCTGGGGTCACACCAAGGTCACTCCTGGGGTTACACCCAAAATCACACCGGGGGTCACGCCCAGGGTCACTCCTGAGGTCATTCCTGGGGTCACACCGAGGATCACACCCAGGGTCACACCCAGGGTCATTCCTGGGGTCACTTTTGGGGTCACTCCTGGGGTCACACTGAGGATCACACCCAGGGTCACACCCAGGGTCACTCCTGGGGTCACACCGGGGCTGAGGTGCCGTGTCCAGCGTAACCGGAGCAGTAGCTAAGTGTTGTCCAGAGAATCCCCAAAAGACCCAAAAAAGTTCCTAAAAAAACAAACAGGTGGAGAAAAATTCAAAACAATATAAAGGGAAGGAAAACAACTTCCTCCCTGCTGTTTCCTCTTGGATTTAATTAGGAATTCTTCTCCATAACGGAAAGAATACACAACTTTGGCATTGGCTCCTTGCCCCACTTTCTGTCTGGGCAGTGCCACGGTGGAAAAACATTAAATAATAATAACTCAGGCCATCTGTCACCTCTCAGAGCTGCTGCTCTGCACAGGCCAAACCCCTCCTGGTGTCCCGGTGCCTCCCGGAGCTCCTGCCATGCCCAGTTCCTCCCTTTCCCCTGTCCTGCAGAGGTAACACCAGAGGGAATTCTGGATAAGGCAACAATCAGGGAGTTCTCCTGGGAAATTGGCATCTCCACGTCCCCCACGCAGCTCCTGCTGGGGGGGAGAAGGGGATGTGGGGAGCTGAGACATTTCCCCAGTAGCATGGAACTGGGAACATCTGCTTGCTGACTTGGATGAGCAGGAGAACCACCCACATTCCATTTATTTCCCTCTGCCATTCTTTGGGACTGGAGCCATAGCCCAGAGTTGGGAATTTCAGCCCGAGCAACAGAATTATGAAGGCACTTGGTCTTTGCACCTTGGGGAATCACAAGGATGCTGCTGAGTGGAAGTGCAGCAGTGGGGGCTCCTGGTGTCCTGCAGGAACCCCAGAAAACCCCAGGAACTTCCACAGAGTGACCCCACAACCCAAACACGTGTGTGCACCAGGCTGACCCTTTTAGTTTTTTAGGTCAAGGTGACCTTCAGCTCTGGTCTAGTGGAAGGTGTCCTTGCCTCTGGGAGGGTGTGGAATGAGAGGAGTTTTAAAGTCCCTTCCAACCTAAACCATTCCATGATTCTGCGACAAAAATCAGGAGAGCCCCGTTCAATTTCCTGCCTGGCACATTTTGACCTCCCTGCTGCTGAAATGCACGAGGGGCTCCATAAACAACAAACTGCCCTGGGGTCAGGCGTGAATGGAAGCTTTGACATTCAGAGAGATCAAATCCTGAAGGAGGGCTCCAAGCAGAGCCCGCAGGGAACCCGCCCACAGCCCTCGGGGCTGTATTTCTTCCCCGTGCTAATTTTACTAAAGACACAACTCATATTCCTGTTGATTGAACAGTTTTGTGTTGACAGCGTTGAAGATTTGTGATGAAACTCATCATCAGCCCCGAGAGCGAGCCATTAGTCCCCGTCAGCTCGGCCAGCGAGGCCTCGGATATTTTATGGCTCGCTCTGAAGACAAACATACACATTTATATGTCACTTGTTGCAATATAAATGCTAACTTGTACTTCTTTCAAAACTTTTAATGAATTGTACACATTTCGCAAGATTTATAGCAAGAAGCGGCCGGCTCAAAATATTGCTTTAAACGTATTTGTCACTTTGGCAACAGAACAAAAAAAAATCTGGAAGATACTGCCGTTAGAAATAAATCATAAATATATGCGTCTTAAAAGAGTTTATTTTGGTCATTAATAGTTGATGCTCCCTCCCCCACCCAGCGCAGGATTTAAAGTTAAATTATGCAAAATCAAAAACAAACCTTATAATACTTAATCAAACATGCATAAAACTGTCAGGGCCAAATAAATTCTCTCAATTAACTTGCTTCAGATTGTGATTGCATTTACTAATTTAATCAACACTAGAATAATTTGGAGACTGGGTAATGATGAATTGCTGTGGTGCTGCACGTGAAGGGCCACTAAGGTGGTGTGCTGAGGCAGGAATGCAAGAAATGCCTTCGAGGCTGAGGGCAAAAAACTCACAGCCGAGTCGTCACAATCATTTTATAATAGAAACATCTTTTTTTTTTTTTTTTTTTTCCCATTTGGAGGGGAATTTTTGCCAGCAAACACCCGTCATGCACAGCCCTTGTGTGGATGAATGGCTCCAGTGTTAGTTCATGGAGTCAATCTCATTTCAGCCTGAGATGAGCGAAGGTGTCAAAGCCTCAGAGACTTTCCCTCCCCATTTTTGAGTCATTTTGTGAGTGTGATCTTTCCCTGGGGGCGGCGACCTCCAGCCCTGCTGCCTTCAGCCTCGCTCAGGTCGTTTAGGCTGGGGCTGGAGTAACAGCCCTGTAATATCGAGATGTCCTTTAGCTCAGTCCTTTTGCACTTTGAATGGATCTGCACTTACAATAAAATGGGCCTGACCTCTGCCTAGGAAAGCTTTCAATACTATTACTTTGTGGAGAGCTAAACATTACACTTCTGCAGGCGTAAGCAAGGTTTTATGGAGAGGTTCTCATTTACAGGTTCATGTGAAGGAGGCTGGAAGGTGTATTCAACCCTATAAAATACCTGAACCTCAGAAATATCACACCCATATTTGGTCTTTAACCTTTCCCCA